GTTGTGAAGGGGGGGGTGGGGGGGGGGACGACCCACCGACTTTAACACGTATAGCTGCTCCCGAGGTCCTTAGGCTACATAAGGTGTGTGGGTTAAACACACACCACACAGATTTTTGATACATTTCTTCCCTGCAGTGTAAGAGTTTAGATATATAGGGTTTCGTGGGTTTTTTTTTTAAAAAAAAAATCCATTCTGCATCTCAATCGGAAGTTTTTATGAGAAAGTGGTACAGTAATATTTTTATGTTGTTCCTCTGTACTTTTTTTTTATGCTGAGATGTTCAAATTCCCATCACCCCTCTTTGAACTTTACCCATTTGCTTGACTGAAATAGTAACTTTTTGGGGGCTTTCCACAGAGCCATTTGATCTCAAAGGTAGTTTGTGCTGTCTTCATGGGTTTCATAGTTTGAGAAACAATTCAATAGCTTGGACTAGGCTATTCTCTGTTTTAAAGTTAAAATGGGGGGGGGGAGGTGTCACAAATGACAAAACTTAAAAACATAAATACAGTTACAAAATCCAGAAAAATGGCAATTAGATGCTCGACAAATTCTTTTCCCTCCATTTTTAGCTACATTTTTAAAAAATATATATTATTGTTGATTTCAGAGAGGAAGGGAGGAGAGAAAAATAGAAACATAAAGGTGAGAGAGAAACATTGATCGACTGCCTCCTGCACACCCCCCAGTGGGAATCAAGTCTGCAACCCAGGCATGTGTCCTTGACCATAATCGAACCCTGGACACTTCAGTCCACAGGCTGATGTTCTGTCCACTGAGCCAGATGGGCTAGGGCTTGGCTACATTTTTTAGTTGATACATAATTGTAAAAGTTCACCCATTTAAAGTGTTTTTTGTTGTTTTCACAGAGTTGTGCAATTAACAGTACAATCACTTTTAGAACATTTTTATCACCCCAGAAAGAAACCCTAGCAGTCATTAGCAGTCACTCTCATTTCCCATTCACTCTTTGTCTTTTAAGGTTTGCCTGTTCTGAACATCTATATCCTACCTAATAAAAGAGAAACATGGTAATTAGCCATACATCCGCTACCCTTCCCATTGGCTACTCAGGGCAATATGCAAATTAACTGCCAGCCAAGATGGCAGCAAGGCTACTGACACGAACAGGAGGCTTGCTTGCTTCAGTGACGGAGGACTCCAATGTTCCCTGCCTGCCGCTGCTGGGCTCTGAGCTGCTAAGAAACATTGTTACAAATATAGAAGCTAAACAAAACCCCAGAAACCTGTTTTCAGTCAGCCGGATCTCAGAGCTGGAGTTGATATAGCGTTTCAATTATAGAACCCAAACAAAGCAAGATACCTGCTTTCAGCAGCAGAGGCCTCAGAGCTGGAGCCAGAGCTAAAGCTGGCCCAGAATAAAAGAGAAAAAAGAAAAAAAGAAGCAGTTGGGAGCTTCAGTCACCTGCCAGCCTGAAAACAGCCCTCACCCCCTGACCCAGGCTGGCCAGGAACCCCAGTGGGGACACACACCCTGATCCAGGACACCCTTCAGAGCAAACCAGCCGGCCTCCACC